CATTTTTATTAAGTAAACTGACTACATTTATACAATAGCATTCAATTTTTAAGAATGTGAATTCTCCTGCATTTCTTATTCTTCCCTCATCTCATCAATATGTAGCATGGATCCCCAAATAATTCTACTTATCAAGAACACTGAGTATTTCCTTCTCTTACCTGTCATATTGCATGTCCTCTGATTACTTTCAAAATGATACTGTCTTCGTGCTTGGGCGATGTATTCAGCTGCTTCTCTTTCTTGAATTTCTCTGATTTTCTTCTGTCCATACTTTCCCAGTAAATAGACGCCTACGGAGAGATTTTTATATGACAAGTTGCATTAAAAATGTGAACAACCACCCCTCCATCTCCTTTCAATGTTTTTAAACCAWAAAGGTAAATAATAAGAAGCTTTTCTAAAATTTTTTTTGTCCTTCAAAAAAGGCATTCTTGGTACTACTGAAATATATGAAAGTAGGAGACTGAAGCAATAGTTACACAGAGAATAATGCAGAATAACAGAAAGAATAAAGAAAACTTAAATCTATCAAGTCTAGAGAAGGATAAAGGCTGAAAGTGTTTTTTAAAAAGATATCCTTCTAAAACTAGCAGGCAGTGCACACAGTGCAGGCGGACATGAGACTACAGAAAGTAAATTCATGAAGAATCATGGGCATTTTCCAGAGCAATAAGCTGCAGTAGCATCGCCATAATTAAGATTGAGACAGCTAATTGCTTAATAGTCAGTTGATTGTTAAAGCAACTACTGAAAATGCCTCATATTAAAATAGGAAAAGTTTTTTTTTTTTTCTTCTCAATAACTGAGATATCTCAATTTAACCTCTCAACAGGGGTAAGAGATCTGCAGAAAGCAGCAGCAGCGCTATACTCATCTGTCCCTCTAATCGGCTAAACAGTTATAAAAAACATCATACAGTATCTTTCCCATAGGAATGAACATAAATAAAATCAGCATATGAGGCTATCCAAAAGAGAACTGCTACATGGACCTTTGTCTACCTTTGTTAACACACCAACTCTTGAAGCAAGTAGGAGTGTGAACATTTCTCCATCACACAAGGGTCAAATACAGATTAGTGGGGTAAACCAGGATTATATCAGCTGAGGTCAGAGGATTCTGATACGGGAACCCGAGCAAGGATCTGATACTGCAACCCCCACTGCTCTAAAACTGACCTGCAAAGTGAAATGTATTGACACTGGCTAATCTACAACACAGGCAACATCAGGGATCCGCCATACACACATCCTCTGGGAGCAACGATTACAGTGATCTCTTACCAGCCAATTGCAATAAATATGCTCTAATTTCTCTCTCATCCTCTAGCACTGTATAGTTTCTTCCTATTTAAATGTGAGYCACAGAAGATTACAAAATCTGCAGGCTCTTTGCACCTTCATGTCGACAGCCTCAAACAGGTAGGATATTTCTCACTTCCCATGAGTTATCGTTTTCTTAACTGCTCTTCACCCTTTCTTTTCTGCAGGTAGTAAGGAGTAAGAGGCTGGAATTACTAGCCAGGAGACATCAAGACGTTTTTGGGAAGCCTTTTTACAGCCTTAAGTAATCTTTATCCCCATTGTAATGCTCCTCTCAAATACATATTTTTCACTTCAAAAGTTGCTAGGAATTTCATCCATGTATATATCATGCTAGCACACAGTAGTCTGTGTGCCTCGAACACATCAGCAGCTTTTAAACATCAGGAAAGAGAAAGACAGATGACTAAAACTGGGCGAAGAACAACTGTGCTCTGAAGCCCAGAGTCTCAGCCTGTGCCCCAGACTGACCCCCAAACCATCTATTTCACCTGCCCAGCAACACAGGCCCCCAACACAAGGGGTGTGCCCACGGATGCACCCTGACTTCATGGAGCCAGAAGAGTTGTTCAGGGAGCAACAGGGAGCTGTACCTCAAGAAAAAGAATAAGGAGGGCCTTAAAAATAACAACAGAGGGAGAGTTTGGAAAATAAATATACCTCCTTTTATACAAGRAAGATACAGCTGTATGCATTGCATAAAGGGTGGTTGTAAATTTTACTTCATACTGAAATAATAACTTACTACGCTGAAGTATTTCCAAATAATGAACTTTACCATTACTTCGTGACATGAGTTTTTCTGCTRCTTCTAGCTACATACTTCTGCTGCTGCTTCTGCTACATACAAAATCATGGTTCAATTGATGCACAGTTATCCCATTACAGTTGCAAATTGTATTTAAAAAAAGAAAGCACTCAAAYTTTACTCTTGCATCATTGACTTCCATTTCCATCAAACCTATTTATTACCTATTCAGAAGTCAAGTTTTTTGGTTTGCTAAGCAGATGCATTTCTGAACTGAAATGTTCTTTCTCCAAGGTAAAGCTTGCAACAAACAAAGTTTCAATACATTTAATCACTACTGAAATCAGAACTATATATTTCAAACACACCCTGAAGTGGCTCGCCTACAGCAATATGGGAATTTCAACACAGTGAATCATTTTGTAACATCTTTTGAAATCTGCCTTCAGTGCTGAGTGCTATAAGGGATCCGTCTTCTACCTATCCAGTAAGGACCTAACATGTCCTTGTAGCTCAAACACACTAACTCTTTCCTTACCTAAAACGTGTCTGGTGGAGTTGATTCCTGACCAAACTCTAACTTTTGGTACCCTTAAAAGATTTATTCTTAAGGTACAATTTACCTTAAACTGCCAGAAGAATKGATGCCTGAAGAGTTTCTATAGGGTCTTTGCTAAGTTCAACTCTCAACCTATCTCAATATTTCTGGCAAATTACACCTATTTGAGACATTCCTATTTCAAGGGTTTTGCTACAGGTTGCTTTTGGAGATGTAGTGTTAACAATCACAGAAACCCTGGGAATGGCAATCAGCAGCAGTGCACAAGGAATCCACCTCACTAAGCAGAAGCAAAGGTGCCAAGCGAGACAGATTTAGAGGGGCTAATTCTGCCGTAATATAATACAAGCACAACACCGTATCAGTATGTAGGCAGAGAATCAYTAACTAATTCATACCAAACTCTGACCACATGCAGATCAAAGATTTAAGATCATTACGGTTGGCAATAGAGATCTTCCATTTTCCTTTGCTACATCCCCCTTCCCAGAAGACACAYCTACAGCTTCCAAAAGCCGCTAGAGAGAGACCCCTCCCAGGCTCTGATATTTAAAAAGTAGACTTGGATGGGACTTTTTGCATCCTACCCCTCAACACTGGGCAGTATTTTTTCGGAAAAGTCAGCTGTGGATCTCAGGATTCGGATTACCTAAAGCCTGACTGCAACTAACTCCCAAGGACCAGAGCACTCATGATTCAGCTGCTGAGCCACTGTCGTGCAGAAGTCTTGAGTAAATTCTTTTCAATGCCAGGCTGCCTTAAGGCATCGTGGTGTAAGTTGCAGTTGTTGGCAGCTAATGTTACTCTCTTGCYCCTGGATGCCCAAGTTCACTATAGCCCTCAAACACCACACAGCAATTCAAAGCCCTCGGATCCAGCACAGCAGGAGGAAGCAGCTACTTGCTCCATGCTGYAACGGCAGGATAGCTCAAAGTTCAGTCTGCAAAAGGTGAACCACTTGTTAGAAGCGCAGCATCTTTTCTGATCAGTTACATTTTAAATGACTTCATCTTCACTTCAATAAATTCTTAAAAAAGAAAAAAAAAAAGACATTTCACTCTAACATTTCAGTAAAAGCAACACTGAACTGTACATAAACAGCAGCAATCATAAGGAAAAAGTTGCAAATTCAACCTGGTCCCCATGTGGCAGAGAGCTCTTTACATACAAATTCAAGATTTCAAGACTACCAAGTACGGCTCAGAAACTGTTTACCATAATACCCTGCCACGCTTGCAGACAGAAACCTGCAGGTGAGGGAACTACCTTGGAAAGCAGTTTGACAAGTACTTCAGAAACCAGCCTTTAACCCACTATCATGCACCCATCTGCRCACTGCTGAACAAACACAGAAGGAACCCACGCTGAAAGGATACAGAAGAAATAACAGGGCAAGGCAAAAATATCTACAATTCACTTTCACAGGAGACTTCAGCTGGATCAAAAAGTAAAAAAGGGGSCAGTGAACTGCAGAAACCCCTCAGCCCTCAGCATTTTTAACTGTTTGGGCATGTGAATATAAACAGATGCATGCTTTCCCAGCAACTTTCACACATTTAATTGCATTGTTTGCGTTAAGATCACGTGGATCTGATAACTGTGTGTGTGAAGAGACAACCGTGCCTTTTGACAAGCCGTACCTAACGATTGCGAAAGGCTGTTGATCAGCCACGCAGACGTGCATTAATATTAACAGCCATTAATAACCACAGAGAGCGCCAAGCTGCCTTGCCTCCATCTATCAGAGCACGGTTTTGTTTATAGACCTGTAACAAACCGGGGAACGCAGTACACATAAAGCCGCAACAAGCCGATCCAACGGCCGCAACGGCCGCTCCAAGGGTTAGAGGGGCTCGTGAGGCAAGGGCTGCCAGAACCAGCCAGAAACGCCGCTCGCTTCGCCCTCCCATGGAGTTCCGCGCCCGCGGCCGCTCTCTCCTTGCCGTCCAGCCCCGTGCCGCGGGCGCCACGACGGCCGCGAGCGCTGCAGGGGGCCGCGCGCCGTTACGCAACGCGGCCCGCACCGGCGGGGCGGCGGGAACCTGCCCGCGCGGCCCGGCGCGAGCCCCTGCCGCCAGCAACGGCCCTAACGGCGCCGCTAACGGCCCAAACCACCGGCAAGGGGCCGCACCGCCGCCGCCCCCCGCGCAGCCGCCGCCGCCGCGCCGCTCACCGCCGAGGAAGGTGCCGAGGAAGAGACACTTCTTCTTGTGCCGCTTGAGGAAGCTCCAGAGGGAGCGGAGCATCCTGCGCGCCCGGCCCGGCCCCGCCGCTCGCCTCGGCGGAAGGGGCGGAGCCAACGGCGCCCGCCCCGCCCCGGTGCGCCCGCCGCGCCGGTGCCCCCGCCRCGCCGGCCCGCCGGAAACGCGGCCCGGTCACCGCCCGTGCCCGCCATGGAGGACGAGCAGGCCACGCTGGCCTGGATGGACCGAGCCCTCGACGTGGTCAGTGCGGGAACTGGAACGGGAACGGGAATGGGAACGGGAACGGACCCTCACGGCCGCGGCCTCGGTGGGGGGAGAGGCGGGTAAGGGCYTTGTCCGTTGGCGCCGCGTCCGGGCCGTTGGCGGACCGGGAGGAGAACAGCCCCGCGTTTGTACGTGACTCGCTGTGTGTTTGCGTTTGTTCCTCCGCGCGCGCGCGCGGCGCAGGCCCGCGAAGCGCTGGAGCACGGCGAGGTGCCCGTGGGCTGCCTGCTGGTCTGCGGCGGAGAGGAGCTGGGCCGGGGCCGCAACGAGGTGAACGAGACCAAGAACGTGAGTGGGAAGCGCCGCGCGCGGCGGAGGCAGCGGCGGGAGCGGCGCCGGGAAGCGCCCGAGCAGCGCGGGGAGCCGCGCGGCCGGGCGGGAATCTCGCGTGGAGACCGGGCCCGGCCCAGCTGGAAGGGCTGATGACAAAACCGGAGGCAGCTTGAGAATACCGTGAAAACTTCCACTCTCCTTTGTGTTCGGGTTTCCCGGAGGGAGGCACTTAAATGCAAATAATGTGACTYCCAAAAATTCTGGGGATTCAGCTGYTAATATCCTTCTTTCTGATCATTCTAGTATTTCTTCTCTACATCCTTTGCAGTCTTAACTCATCTTTTTTGAGTGCAGTAACCTAGAACTGTGTATCGTATTCCAGCTGGACTTTATCCTGTGGCTTATTTGATAACAAAAATATTTCCCTCTCTCCCTGGAAATAATTCTCTCTCTTCTTAACCTGTTGGCATCTTCTTTTTTTTTTTTTTAATATTTTATTTTTATTTATTTAAATTCTGTCATAAAGGCCAACTGCTTCTTGAATGATACCCTGACATTTTCTCCTCTGTTGGCACAAAGTGGGTCTTGGGGCATGAACAGTAGCAAGTTCCCTGCAGGCCGACATTTCCTCTTTCAGTACAACTTCTCTTGCTTGTTTGTCCAAAATATGTTGTCACATATTTTGTGTTATGCCGTTTTCCTCCGACTGAGTAAAAACTTTCAGTAGAGTGTTACGCTGGATGAACTGCAAAAGCCTGGATAGAAACATCAGTGGAGTCTCTCTTGCCTCGAAAAAAAAATATTGAAGAAAATTATGAATCATGTCAAATATTGTATATTAATCCATGTTGTGGGTTTTTGGTTTTTATTTTCCCTTTTACATACTTGCTTTTATGTCACCTTCTCAGTTTGTTCTGTTGCTTGTTTTACTACCAAGACTAGCYTGGATCTGTAGACATCAGATCATATTTGCTTCCTGTTTTCTGTTAGAGTGACTCTGCTCTGGCGGGTTTTGGTCATGTGGTGCTCTCCCTTCTTGTATTAAAAGCTTTACTATGGGATTGGCAACATCACGTGACAGCTCTTTAATATTTTTATGATGGATGTGATCTATCACCTTGTTTTTGCCCTTTTCTCCCCTCCCAACTAATTTCAGCATTTTAATATCTTAATTCTGTTTGTATCTCATGTGATACGATTTTGGCTTCCATACTTTTATTCTGCCTTCCCACTTTATTGAAAAGCTCACCATTACTGAAAAGGCAAAATACTCATTTTGTTTTGGAGCTGTACTATAAATCTATGCAAACATCATCTCAATAGCTGTACCATCTTTACACATATTTAGCAGGGAGTGTCTTCCTTATGCCTTCTTTTGTCTTGTTATTGAACTATTCATTCTGGTGAAAAAGTTTACTTGTGGAAAGTTTTTGGATTTTTCAGCCTGTCTCTTGGCAGCCTGCATGCTTTTTCTGCTCACGTCCATAGAAAAGCACATTAGCATCAGCGGGACTACCACTCATTCCGTGGGAGTAATTTTCAAAGTTATTAGTCATGATCCATGCTCTTCTGACAAAACTGCAGGAAGCCTGTGTCTGTACAGCTGCATTTGTTTTATTGCTTTTTCTTAGGAAGATGGATCTAGCAGTAGCATTTCAAAACAGTTACGCCTGTCGCTGCTTGTATTCATTGGGCAACAGCACAACCAATGCCTGTGCGAGACATTAACTTTAACTGGCCTGAYGGCAGCTGCTTCAATACTGTGTGCCCTCAGGCAGCTCCCATGCTTTCTTGCTCACAGTCTTTCCTAAGACCAACCTTAACATTTTCTTCATGGTAATATAAGTGATCTTTCCCAACTAGAATTCTTTGGCGTCTTTCTTCTCATGTATGATGCAATCATAGACTTCCCTCTGAAATATTTGACCTGCCTGGATGCGACCCAGTGCCCCGTGCTCTGGGTGTCCCTGCTTGAGCAGGAGGATTGGACTAGAAGATCTCTAGAGGTCCCTTCCAACCTCCACCATTCTGTCACCCTGTGATATTTTCTGTTTTAGGTACTTAGTTGGTATGTGCAAGGTTCTTTGTTATCTCCTCGTGGGTCACTGTAGTTTTTGTCTTTGCCCACAGCATCTTGCAAGCACAATATTTGAGAACTGAAAAGTATTGTTTCCGTTCAGAAATTCCTAATGATGCCACAAGATAATGCAGAGCTTTGATCTTTAACTCTCTCTGCTTGTTAATTCTTCTCTGAGATTTAGAAAGTAAACTTTTGGGGCAAGAGATGGTATCTTGATTTGTCTATAAAATTCTTAGGAGATTTTGGGGCACTATTTTAATAATGTGAAGACCCCGTGACTTTTGTTTCCTGATGACATAAGCTTCAAGTAATTTATTCTTGAAATATGATTTGCCACTTTCTAAGAATGTTTTTGTCTTGCTACTTTTACCTGCTSTAATTTCCTTCACTTTAAAATAATATGATTGGACCAAAAAAAAAAAAAAAACTTATAGAAGAATATGAATTGAGTCAGTGACCCAAGATGAAAATGATCTTTTCTAGTGTTACTTTACACTTCCAGGAAGTCGAATAAAAATGACAGCCTAGTCATAGCTCAATAGAAAATAATATCTTAAAAACTGATTACCCCCGTATCTTGTCTCTTAAGAGTGACCATCCTTAAGGAAGGAGCTCAGTCACAAGAGAAGGGTAAAGTAAAGTGCCCTTGGACATCCTCTCCACTTCATGAGTGTGCAGCTTAGGGCCTTCCAAAGCCTGGGACTGCACTGGGRTCATAGTTTCTGAGAGCTGTCTGTGCACATATTCTCCATAAATTTGTCTAAGCCTTTTTTTGAACTCATTTATACTTCTGGTTTCCATAGTATCCTATGACGGTAAGAGCCACAATTTAATYATGTGCTTTGTGAAAGAGCAGTTCCTTTTGTTTGTTTTAGATTTGCTGCCTGATAATTTCATAGGGTGTCTGCTTGTTATGAAAATAATAAATCACAGTTTACTGTTTGTTTTTTTCCCCATATTTTTCACATTTTTATGTGATGCATAGCTGTTCCAACTTGCATTCTCAAAGTCAGAAGAAGCATTAAAGCTACATTGTATGTCCAGTATAAGGCAGTGTCACAGTTGAAAACTCTTTTTTTTTCCTTCCAGAAACATTATTTTAAATGTTTTCAATTCATACTAAGAAGTCAGTATAGTATTTGTTTCCTCTGTTTTGGGGAGCACAAGATTAAAAGAGCCACAATTTATACTTGCTATTTAGGGTAGCCATAGTAGTTGAGAGGATTGTTCTGCTGGAAAGCATTGCACCTTACGGGTTTGTGAGGTGCATTTGTTAACACTTCAGCTGATGGAATCTCATTAGTTCAATTAGGAAACCTGTATGACAGCGTTTCATCACTATGTCTAGAGAAATTATGTCTRTGTATTGATTCAGACCCACATTTTCATTTTGAAGGGGTTCGTTACTGTGTTAGTTCAGACCACAGGTGTTCTCTTGGATTGAATTTCATGATTGTCTGTATATGCTCTGTTTGTGCCTCAGAGTTGGCAAGCTGTCTTCATTTCAGATGAAACTGTGCACAGAAAAGATGCACGTGGAGAGCACATGAGACAGACTCCAGCTGCTAGGGGCAATTCAGCCCAAGTGAACAAACAAGAGCTAGTCCAGGCTGAACTCCTCTGCATTGGTGTCAAGTCCTCAGCACTATTTTGCTSTACAAATACATCCCTATTACACTGTACTCTTTGCTAATACAGGTGTAGGCAATGTAGATTTCTGTAGGAGCTTTAAAATACTGCTTTTTTTATAGAAAAAAAACACAATTTTTTTTTTAAAGGAAACAATGTTAAACATATCACCAACTTATATATGGGTTCTTTGCCRTATATTGTAGAGCATCTCACAGTTACCATCACAGATCTGCACAGGTCTATGACTTTAACATAAGTTCGTGGAGTGTGAATAAGTTATCCAAGATCACACAAAGATATATGTAGCAGAGATGGAAGTGCAGTTCGGATTGCTAAAGTCACAGGCTGGTGCCAATCAAAACTATTCTTTTTCCAGAAAGGATTAAAAAAAGGAAAATACAGCCTTAATTCAAATAGGCACTAGGCTTGATGACTGGAGAGACCTTTTATGAGTAGTATTTTGTGGTGTTTTTGCTGTGACTTTTGATAAGCAAAACGTGTTGCTGCAAACATTACAGAGCATAGGAATGATAATGTTTTTTTTTTCTCTCCCTGCAAGTAAAGTCGGCAATTACTCTCTCTGTTCTGTTTTTTTTTGTGCTATACTTACCACTGTGGTCCAAGAGATACTGGTTACTCAGCTGTCCTACCAACAAAGAGAAATCTTTTTTAAGGACTTTTTTTTTCCCCCCTGTGTGCTGCAGTCCCTGCCTGTTACATGAGGGACTTACTGTGCATGTACCTGTTCTCAGGYAGCATTAAACATAATATACATGCACAAATTAAAAATACCTTGCCTGTATGGTAGATGAAGTAATTGCAGAAATAGGTTGAAATTAGGGCCTAATTCACAGTATTTTCACTCTGTGCAGACTAACATTTTTAGAGGAAAAGAATGGCAAAAGGACCAGTTTCTGTTACTACTGCCAGAGCAAATTATCTGCCCCACTCTTGAAGGCAAACTGAGGACTCTCTCAGTGCTTCCAGTGGAGCTTGTGTAGCCCATCAGCCTCAGTGAGAGCCCCTGTGTCTTGTCTGGTTATGCAGGCCTGGCAGAAAGGAGACCTGAGCTGACTGCTCTGCCTAGAAGCAGGTARAGGAAATTGGCTTGAGCTTGTGGACTTGGTGTGTGCTTTAAAAAAGACCGAAGGTGAATATATAGTTATTAGAATTCAATATTTCCTCTGCAATTTGGCCTGCATGAAACTGGAAGTATCTTTTCATTAAACTACTTCTGTGTCTTGAACCAAGAGAGAAGTGAGACGRAAGGAGACCTCTCCAGAAAACGTTACGTTGTTACTCTAACAAAAGGGAAAATAATTGAATTGCTAGTAGATTAGATGGCAGGCCACTGTGCCTGTGAATTAAAAGAAGTGATTTTAAGGCGAGGCATTTTATTCCATTTGTGTTTGCACAAGTGAGAACGTTAAAGTGATGGATAATGCAAACATTAACAGTTGTTTTTTATTTCCTAGGCTACTCGACATGCAGAAATGGTGGCGATTGATCGAGTCCTTGAATGGTGTGAACAAAACAACAAAGTTTATCAGGAAGTGTTTCCGAAGATAGTACTGTATGTAACTGTAGAGCCTTGTATCATGTGTGCGTCTGCCGTGCGCCTGATGAGTATCCTTTTCATTCATGCTGGCTGTGAAACTAYATCAGCGTGTCACTCGCTTAGTAATGAGCCAGGGGAGAAGAGTTTGACACCGAGGCAAAGCCACAGTAAGGGCCATCTTAGTGTCTGTGTGCACCGCTACTTACTGCGTGGCAAATAATGAAAGATAGGAGAATGAAAGGCAAAAAAGTACCATTATCACAAACATTGATTTCAATTAGGGATGTGAAAATACATTTCAGAAATACATTACTAGGTAGTCATCTTATATGGGTCCAGTGTTCGGTTTTGTATAAAGGAAACAGTTTAAGGATTCATAAAATATAGCTTTGTATGCCTCTGAATTCATGCTCCTCTTCTGAGGAAGGCTGGATGGGCTTCTTCAGCAGTACATCATGTATTGTTCAAAAATGAGTTGTAATTTTAGGAAGGGAGAGTTGTAGTGCTGACTAGTTTAGTTTAAGAAACAAGAGCACATTTTAGTGAAGGTTATAATGACCATTAAGAYGAGGCTGCTCTGCTTCCTGTGCTTTCTTTTCACTTTAACTTAGTTCCTTAACTCGTTCTTATAAATTCCACGGGTAATATACGGCTGTAAAAACGAGCGGTTTGGAGGCTGTGGCTCCGTCGTGAACATTGCTTCTGGTGACCTGGTAGACACAGGAGAACCATTTGAAGTAAGCTAGGAAATGTTTTCAGCTGGGGTGCTACGTCTAGTGTGGTTGCCAGGTTTGGAGAATGTCATGGATCCGTTTAAGAGGACACACGTGAAAGATGATCAGTAGTCCTGTAAACTTGATTTAACAAGGAAGGATGTTTAAAACAAAACAAAACCAAGCTTCTTTAAAGTAAAAAAAGATGGAGAAGAGGCCTAATGAATATTTTAAAGGATGTATCAAAGAAGAAAGAATTATATTCAGGGATTGRTGTAAGAATGAGTATGTCTAAAAGATGCCGAATACTCAAAATAGAGTATGCTGCAGGAGAAGACGTAAGGGAAAAATATTTTGAACTGCAGAGTGTATAGACATAATCAATAAAGATCATGTAACACTAACTTAGTTATTGCTTGTTAGCTGCTTTTCTCAGTGTATCCATACACAAGGTAAAATTCATTAGCTTACATCTACTTCATGTAGCTCAAATCTCAAAAGATATTTGGACTGCAGAAGCAGCAGAGGAGATTTAGTTTGGACGTCAGGAAACTTGCTGGATAGTAAGGACATGAACACCCTAGAGCAGAGTGCATGGGCAAAATGACAGGCAGCTCTGTAACTGAATGTTTCTAAGAAAAGCTGCACAATCAGTAGAGGCCTAGTAAGTACACATCAGTACCTCAAGCAAAGACTTCATAGCATTATAAAACTACACATACAGACATATATATAAATCATAAACACACCTATACATAGGGAGAGATTATTTGTCCCCGTATTTATCACATCTTACATCATTGTAGATGGTCCCGCCTTGTACAAGGAGACTCATTAGATATCCCTTAGGGTTCTTTCCAGATTTAACATTTTTGATTTAATTAATATAAAAAGCAGGACATTTCAGTACTGTGAATAAACGCTAAAGGCTTCTTGAGTCTCAGAAAGCATTTCTGTCAGAAGGACTTTACTGTCTGGCAGTCTAGTGTATACAAATGAAGCATCTTTGAAGGAATTTATTTGTGAGACTGAATTAATTCATTTTACTATATGTCCTTCCTTTAGTCCTCTAGACAATGGCAGTGGGATGTATGTAGTATGATTCATTACCTTCTGATGCAGCTGCATATTCTTTTAGTGTCAGTGACATTAAATTAAGTGACATTAAATTAAATTAAATTTTAGTGTCAGTGACATTAATGTTCATGGCCTGGACAAATAGTTCAGAAGGGTCTAAAAGGCTTCCGAGGTGACTGTTAGGAATAAAGGATAACTTTGAAGAGGATCGTTTTTTGATAGGAATCTTGTCTACAACTACCCAAATGTCTGTCTCTTGCATTTCCAAGTGCTTCTCATTCATATGGAATAAGTTGGAAACACATAAATAAGAAAGAAATTAGAGATTGAATAAACTTTTAACTTAAGTTACTAGAAAACTTTGTTTGAAGTTGAGTAGCTAGATACGATTTATTCTGCTAAGTCGCAACATGGTGTTTTTCAAATACATTAGGTCAACCTCAACCTGGAGAGGAGATTTTCTGATCCCAGGTAGTTAGAGCTACATGTTAATGAGGAGAATAGACAGTGAAGTTTTTTAACCATTTTGTACTTAGGGCTTCATTATGAAGCTTACAATATGTTATTTTCAGATGCTTTTATTATACTTTTGTTCTAATTTGAACAGTGCTTTTCTGGCTATCGTGCCAAAGAAGCTGTGGAATTGYTACAGGCTTTCTACAGACAAGAAAATCCCAATGGTAGGTTTCATGTTTATGGATTTATTTTGATCCTGACATAACTGAAAAGAATCACAGAATCACAGAATATTCAAGGTTGGAAGGGACCTCTAGGGATCATCTAGTCCAACCTTCCCGCTCAAGCAGACACACCTAGAGCATGTGGCACAGGGTGGCATCCAGGC